GTGCGGCGAAGTGCTCTGAGCACAGGAGGTGCCCAGGCGCGGGCAGCACCCCCCCTCTTCCCCTCTCCCACTCGTCCCCAGCCCAGGTGGTGAGCGGCCCTGGAGCCCTTACCCTGCCTTTCCCGGAGGCCCTGGGCCCTGACCCAGGCCCGCTGTCTGGGTGCAGGACCCCTCCGGGATCCGTGCAGCGTGCTGGGAACGGGAACTCGTTATCTGCCGTTGAAGATTTTTTACTAAAGCAAGTGAGGCAAAGCCCAGGCGGGGGGATGGGAATCGGGGGGCGGGGCATCGAGTGGAAGCTGGTAAGTCTTATGACTTGAGTGAGAGATGGGCAGTATGGGGGCTCCAGGACCCATACAGTGGTTCAGTCATCCCTGGCCCACAATCTCTGTTACAATTGGTTCCCAGTTGCCCGGCCTTAGCCACCCCCTCAACTGCATCCCCACCTCCCACCCTATAGCCCCTCTGCCATCTCTTCTCAACCCTGCATGTAGGCCCTGGCCCCCTCCAGGATGACCACACTGCTGCTGCTGGACACAGCCGGACACCCAGTCTGCCTCTGGGTCTATGCACTTCTGTGTCTTCCGGAAAGTTCTCTCACCCCACCCCCATACCTGCCCGGGCCAATGCCTCTCCTTTCCCATTTGTTGAATGCTACTGTGTCAGAGCAGCCTCCCTGGGCAACCTGCGTGTAAAAGGGACCCCACTTCCCTTTGCTGTTACTCTGCTTCAGTTTTCAACATAGGCCTTACCACTTTGTGACCTTTTTTGTGGATTTGTCTGTGTTCCTCCACTAGTGAGCCCACCAGAGCAGGGTTTTGTTCGCTGGTATAACCCCAGCACTTACTACATAGTAGGTGCACATAAAATAGTTGTCTAATGTGTGGTTATTTATAAACTAGTAGCCCTGTGTGGGGAGCCTACACGGCCATGGCATACTCAGCCCCAGGGCGCCTTATGTGCCATGCCAACTCAGCCTGGTTCAGTGACCCTGAGTGGGGGTGTGAAAGGATTGAGAAAAGATAGACAAGAGAATGAAAGCTCGGTCTCGGTGGGACGCTGCTCCCTGATGAGGAGACAACGACAGCGCCCACAAGCCGAGTCTTTATTTTATAGCAGATGCCACGAGGCAAAGTAGGGGCGTGATCACCTTGTTACAGCATTCTCTTGAGTTTCAACCTCACTTAACTACATGCACCAGAACTCTATCACAAGGCAGGTGGGGCTACGTGTTCGGAGACCATAGGTAGCTTACAACCACAGCCGTTGGCTATGATTGTGCTGGGAGGGCCCTGCCCTCCAGCTGGGACTTGCATGTGGCAATGAGAGGACCCTGTCCTTTCATTAGTCCGAGGCTTAAACCTGGCCAAAACACCGTAACCGCGCCCCACAGCCCTGTGCATGATGCCGCTGCTGCCTGCCAATGCTGGTAGTTCTCCAGTGCTGGTAGCTCGCTGGCCCGCCCTCCTGGAGCTCTCCACCCCCTTCCCTGCACTGCTGTATCCTTCCCTCCCCCCCAAAGCTTACTGCCCTGCACCCTGGCTTCCCCACCCTCCTGCTGATTTGTGATCCGGTTGTTACGCCTCAGGGTGTAACAGATAATTAACATATTCCTCTATTGTATAGGACTAGATCAGGGGTGGGCAAACTTTTTGACTGGAGGGCCACAATGGGTTCTTAAACTGGACCGGAGGGCCAGAACAAAAGCATGGATGGAGTGTTTGTGTGAACTAATATAAATTCAAAGTAAACATCATTACATAAAAGGGTACGGTCTTTTTTTTTTTTTTAGTTTTATTCATTTCAAACGGGCCGGATCCAGCCCGCGGGCCGTAGTTTGCCCACGGCTGGACTAGAGGCCTGGTGCTCGAAATTCGTGCACCGAAGGGGGTTTCCTCAGCCCAGCCTGCCCCTGTCACAGTCCGGAGCCCTCAGGGGATGTCCTATGGACAGCTTAGACCCTCTCCCCGCAGGGAGTGGGCTTAAACCACAGTCTGGCCTCCCTCTGCAGGCTGATCAGGAGAAGGTGCCACTCCCATCACCTCACTGCTGCTGCCACTGCCGGCTACCAAGGTGTTTTCATCAACACAGACTCCAGTCCCTTCACCACAAAAAAAAACGACAACTTTCTTAAGGCATTTTCAAGATGTCTCTTTCATAGGATATGATATTTCTTTTTTTTTTTTCTCACCTCTGAGTATATTTCATTGATTTTTAGAGAGCGTGGAAGAGAGAGGGAAAGACAGAGAAACATCAATGTGAGAGGGACACTGATTGGTTGCCTCCTGCATGAGCCCTGACCTGGGCCCCAGCCAGGGAGGGACCTACAACCTAAATACATGCCCTTGACCAGAATTGAACCCGGACCCTCCGGTCTGCAGACCGAGGCTGTATCCACTGAGCCAAACTGGCAAGGGCAGGATATGACATTTCTTAGCCCCTCCAGCAGTGGACCTTCATTTTTTCCTCCAGGAGTGAGGTGGAAAAACCCTAGATCACCTTCTTGGATTCTTATTACCCAAGTTACTAAGAACACTGCGAGTGAGGTACTGGGAGCTTAGCCAATGAGTGGTCAGAAAAGGTGTTTCCTTTGCAGCTCCTGTGCAGAGGAGACCTGGGCATGCCCCGCTGTCTCTCGGCTCCTGCTCCCTCTGCAGGCCTGCTCCACCCTGCTCTCTGTGGACCTGCTCTTCATGCAGCACTGGCAGGCCCTGCTCCGCTGTGCTCTCTGCAGACCTGATCATCACCATGGACTGGCAGGCCCTGCTTCCTGTTCTCTGTGGCCCTGCCCCTCCATGCTCTCTGCGACCTGAACATGGACACGACGACTGGCCGACCCTGCTTCTTTTTCTCTGCAGGCCCTGCTCCTTGCTTTCTGCGGGCCTGCTGCTTGCCTGTGCCATCCATGGCTTGCTTCACCGCACAGCAGTCCCCGTCCCCCCTCATCTGTGCGTGCAGCCTATAAAGAGGTAATATGCAAATTTGTTCCTTCGAGACCATAACGGAGCCCTGGACAAATTCGCATATTACCTCTTTATATATATATAGGATTGTCTTTTGAATTCCACAATAATGAGGTTTCCTATTGCCTGTGATTCTTTTAGTAGTAAAAATGCCTTGCCAGATAGAGGCTAAAAGGCACACACTCTCTGTCACTTAGAAACTTAAAATCTTGTGCTATTTTCTTTAGTTTGCTTATGTGAACCTGGAGATTTATAACACTTGCCCTGTAATGTATTACAAAATAGACAGGGTTTATGGTGCATCGTCTTTCTAAAACCTGCAATCTCTGAATACCACAAACACCTGGCCCAAGGTTTCAGAATAAGGATCTGCAGACATACCATTACTTTCAGGAACCCATCTTACTCATACCCAAAGCTGCTCTGGGTATAAGGAAGTTGGGCATGTAACACTGGTTAGTGATCTCTTAGGAAAATGGTCACATAGTATTAAGACAAGATTCATTAAAAATAGTTAAAAAGAAACCTGCTGGGGCTACCCCCACCCCTAAACTTGTAAGCACTGTTTCAAACATGTCAGTTCAGCACCCTATAAGTTTGTGCATAGATTTCACTTAAATTCAAACTGCCTAGTCATTCTGATGATGCGCAGTTACTTAGAGTTAAACGTACTGAGGATTTAAAGCATTTGTTAGGACTTTGGGTTAAGTAGTTGATAAGGACTCTACCATACTGCTTTTCTGAGACCTCTGACCCCCTCCAACTTGAGGTGTGGTCTCATGGTTGTGACTAGACTAAATTAAATGACACTTCGGTTAGAGGTGGGGTGGGGGCCGGGTGGAAGGGTCAGTGGGGGAAAGGGGAATATATGTAATATTTTCAACAATAAAGAATTGTTTAAAAAAAATGACACTTGGGTTCCTGAAAATAATGGTATGCTGAGGTTAGAGCAGAATCCTTGCTTTGCTCATTCCCTACAAACAGCGTAACCTCATTGTTTCTCCTGTAGAAGCCCCATTTCCTTTACCTGCTTTTTCTTCCCTATTTGAACATCTCGGAGAAATTCACCGATCATCTTTCCATTTCTGCCTTCATATGTTCTGACCTTTAGGGAATATTTTAAAAATCACCACTTAGTGCCTTTATGCCAGATCTTTAAAGGAAGCAACAAAAAGTTAGAAGTTGCCTGGAAATGCATCCTGAGACGTCAGCCAATCCTGGTTATTCTGACAAATTGGTCCTCTTATTGAAGATTTAAATTACACAAAGACATGAAATACAAAGCTACCTTAGTGTGCTTTAAGGCCTTTAATGATGTGTGTGTGTGTGTGTTTTCAAATCATAAGTTAGATTTACTATTTTTTGGTATTTCAGTAAATAATGTCCATCATTTTTCCTAGGTGTCTTTGTAAATGCAAAATTGGACAGAACATATGCTGATGCTCTAAATACTAATGTAAAGATGGGAAAACATATGGCTAATTTTCTAGCATCTCTACAGCGAATATTTAAAAAAATTTCAACGGTATGTACTGCCTTTGGATGTATTTCTTGTATTTTATAATTTTCTCTGAAATTGCTTTGAGGTTTGACTGTGCTTGCACGATGTTGAGATAACCAATCACATCGCAAAAAGATTCCTTGATTCTGTGTCCCATGCGTTAATCTCCTAATTGTGTGTGGCTGTGAATTTGGTAAATGTGGAGAAATGGATGTGGCAGTTAGGGAGATAGTTACACCCCCTGAGGGGCTCTCTTTCTTCCAGAAAGGTGATTCAGGATCCGCTGACGCTTCCCTGGCTGGGTCCAGTGACTGTGGGAGCAGCTTCTCCATGGCACCGTAAGTGTGTACAGACAGCTGTGATATTTAAGAAATTCAAATTGCTGCCTGAAAGAGCACATTTTTATGAAAAATGTTTATTGTTTAAAAAGAATTTAGGGAAATAAGTTACTTACCAACAAAAATAGACAGAATTCATGAACTAATAATTGCTCCCTTTTCTTCTAGCAGTTCTGAATCATCCTCTGAAAGTGGCTTTTCAGGAAATGGATCAGAGGGAAATGATAACAGTGACAGAGTTACCAATGCTCTTTCATCTTCTGAGGTACATTATTCATCTCCAAACTTCCTAGTTAGTCTGAATCCCCTTTGTGCTTCCTCATTTAAAAATGACCTTCAACCCAATTTTTCTATTTTTATCTCCTGTGCTCTCACTAACTAATAATATTTGGTGTTTTTGACTCTCTTCTTTCTTTATGAACCCACATCCCTCACATGTAGAGTTCTCCCACTTGTCACACCCATCTTTCTCTCCCTACTGGCCTTCATATTTTCAAATATTCCTGTGATCTTGCTTTTTACCTTATATCAGCTGAACAGTAACTAAAAGATTCATTCATATAGCTCTGCTTCTGTTTTTAAAAAAATCAGAACTAATCTTAGAAAAAACGAAACAGATAAGATAAATTTTGTGGTGATGATTAGTGTTACAAAAGTTATCCTATTTATAGGTAACTACAAATCAATAAGAAAAAGACAGCTCAGTAGAAAAATGTGCAAACGATCGGCACAGAAATTTCAGAAAAGAGATACCCATATGGTCAAGAAACATATGAAATGACATGCAATTCAAAAGAACAGTTAGATGCTATTTTAAACCCATCAGTTTGGCAAAATTTGAATCTGGCAATACTAAGTGTTGACAAAGCTATGTAACAGTTATCTTATAGAGTGAAACCCTAATAATGCAAATCAACTGAACAATGGAACGACAGGTCATTATGACATGCCCTCACCACCAGGGGGCAGACTCTTAACACAGGAGCTGCCCCCTGGTGGTCAGTGTGTTCCCACAGGGGAGCCCCCCTCAGACAGAAGCCAAGCCAGCAGCTGGGCTTGGGTGGCAAGTGCAGTGGTGGTGGCAGTAGCCTCTTCCACCTCCGTGGCAGCCCTAAGGACCCCTCGGGGCTGTCCGACTGCTGGCTGAGTCCCACTCTCCCAAGAGATCCTCGACTGCGAGGGGTCGCAGGCTTGGCTGAGGGACCCCCTCCAGTGCATTAATGTTGTGCACCGGGCCCCATGCTGCTGGTGCAAGTAGCAATCAGCACAACCATTTTGGAGAACAATTTGACAACATGTATTAAAGTTGAGGGTGTACATGCTATAATGTCAAGGAGTTCCCTTCCTGGGGATATTTCCTAGAGAAACACATGCATGTGTGCACAGAGAAACAGGGGTAAGAATATTCTGTGCAACATTGGTTATAATAGGAAGAAATTAGAAAAAATCTTGCTCATGAACAGAATGGCCAAATTACTCCTTAGTGATGTCACCATGCAATACTGAGGCTGGCGGGTGATAATGAGCACAAGAAACTTAGTCTGATGCTCCCCACTCTGTGTCACTATATTTAGGTTGAAAAAGAAATCCACAAAATCTACCAGAATAGTAGTGAATATGAATGGAAGTAGTTATGTGACATTAATTTTTGAGAGAGATATTGAAACTAATTTGTACTAAAAATGAAATATCAGCATTGTGGTTTTTAACTGATGATCAGATCAGAAACCCTTGGGGAACTGCTTTAAACTAGATCCCTGGGCTCCATCTGTGTCGTGATTAGCGCTGTTACTGATGGGGTGCACGCCTTCTTGCTGAGCTCTGCCGGCCAGAGGATCAGCAGGGAAGCCATATTCTGTACCTGGAGAATCAGTGCTTCTTCAGAACATGCCCTACAATGGCTATATCTGTCTGGTTGCTATAATAGATGAGAACATTGATATAAGCAAGTAAACTGGGTAGCAGGGTTCAATAAGAGTACATGATTGATGAGCTTATGGTAAAGAACTGTGGTTACAGAACCTGCTAGAAGTACAGGAGGAGAGAAAGCAAGAAAAAGCACTTTGCCCTGGCCAGGTGGCTCAGTTGGTTGTAGTGTCATCCCACACACCAAAAGGTGGAGGGTTGATTCCTGGTCAGGGCACATACCTAGGTTGTGGGTTCGATCTCCAGTCAGGGCACAACCAATCAATGTTTCTCACACTGATGTCTGTCTGTCTGTCTGTCTGTCTGTCTCTCTCTCTCTCTCTCTCTCTCTCCAGCTCTCCCTCTCTCCCTCTCACTGTCTCTTTCTCTTCCTTCCTCTCTCTTTAGAAAACAAATGAAACAAACAAAAAAGCCTATCCTCCGGTGAGAATTAAAAAAAAAAAAAAGGATAAAAGCAATAGAATTGATTTAATCATTTGAAACAATTTTTCGTTTTCTTTTCTTATAGAGTAGTCTCGAAATAATTTTGGAGGACGTGATAATGTGAGTACCATTATGCATTGAATTTAGTTTGGAATGAGGTTTTCTTTCAGACGTAGTCTGTCAGCCTTATTTATTAACTCCAGTATTTGTAGAGTATTTTATATCCTTATTTGAGTAGGGTTTCAAAAGTAGAGAGCATTGCCCTGGCCAGTATGCCTCAGCTGGTTGAGTGTTGTCCTGTGCATTCAAAAACAGCGGTTTCAATTCCCAGTCAGGACACCTTCCCGTGCTGGTTCAGTCCTTGGTGGGGATGTGTGTGGGAGGCAGCTGATTGATGTTTCTCTCACATGAATATTTCTCTCTCCCTTCCCTTCCTCATTCTCTGAAATTAATAAAGACATATTTAAAAAAAGTAGAGAGCATGGTTAAAGATCACAAAAAGCTTGAATGTACAAACAAATAATTTTAAATATGCAGAGAAATTGTTGTACGCACACTCTACACTGTAGACATAAAGGCCTATGGGGATCTTGCTAGAGTAATTGGTTAAGGGAAGTGGGCTTGGCGAGAGATTTTCAAGAGAAGTGCATTATTCTCCAGATAAACAGGTAGAGTAGAAATGGTGTAGACTCAGGTAAGAAATAAAAGGATCAAATGCTATCAAATGTTGATTCAAAATATAAAAAATCTAGTAATAAGCTCTGGAATCAGCCCAAGTGCCCATCAGTAGCTGAGTGGATGAAAAAGCGGTGGTGCATTTATGCAGTGGAATACTACACAGCTATAAAAAAGAAGGAACTCTGACCTTTTCCAGCAGCATGGATGGACCTGGAGATTATTATGCTAAGTGAAGC